CAACAGTGTAAAGGGGGAGAAGCAGCATTGGGCCTACCAGGTAGGAAGAGGGTGGAGAAGAGGCAGCTGACCAGGGAAAACAGAGACAGGCAGGTGACCACAGGCACGCCCAAAGCATTTTCTAATCCAGATGCCTGTTACTAGATGAGAGGGGACTGCACAGTATACCGTATGAGTTTTAAGATTTTGATGAAAACTATAAGAGGAAAGCAAGCCTGGAAAGACTCTTTCCATATGGCTTCTCACGATTATAACAGCCCTTTCAGAGATGAAGGAAGGGGCCTCCACAGATGCTGAGCGAGGTCCTTGGGATGGCATGGGAGCAGAGCTATATGATCCAAAGGTTATATGACTTCACAGTGCCTTTCAGTGAGATGACTTCCCCCCAAGACAGAATCGATTGCAAACAAGCCAAGAAAAACTATATGCCCATAATCCCAGCACTTGGGAGGTGGAAGCGAATCAGTTCAAGGTCAGCTCTGCTATGTAGCCAATTGGAGACCAGCATCATCCACATGAGAGTGTGCCTCAAAAAAGGAACAAACAAAAACCACTAGAAAAGGGGGTGATGGAGGCCATCCTCAGCAAGTACAAAGACCTGGACTTCAGCCCCAGTCCTCTTTCCCTTTAATGTAGCCAGACATGGTGGCCCAGACTCATAAATACCGTTCGAGAGACATCAGCACAAGGATCTCAAATTTGAGAGCAGCCTGGGCTATAGAACCAATCGACCAACCAACCAATCGATACAAACAAAATGTAGATTAAAATGCAAAACAAAGACCTGGTAAGGCCTCAGAAGAGTAAACTAAGGACATCATCAGCTCCTGGTTTTGATTATTGCACAGAGGATTTTATGCACAATGTTTGATGCAAGTGGATGCTCATGCCTATAATACCAGTATTTGGGAGTCTGAGGCAGGAGGATTGCTGCAAGTTCAAGGTCATTCTGTTCTATACAGCAATTCTCAGGCCAGCCTGGGCACCACAATGGAAACACCTCAAACAACTAAGAGAAGAGAAAAAGACAGAACAGCTTTGGGGAAAGCTGAGTGAGTGAGTAGAACGTTACATGAGAACTGGATAAAGTTTATACCCACCTAAAGCCCAAATTACCTTAAAAGTGGGAAGCTTTTTTTAATGATAGGAACGAAGTTTTAAGAAGGTTGTATGGTACCTTTTTTCTTTGGATAGGAATGTGCATGGCGTACATATTTACAAAATAATTCTCAGTTACTTGCAGAGTCTAAATACCACAAGAAATAAAATAATACTGGTTCCTTGCCATCCTCACTCAATGTCAATAGACTTGTATTAAGTACACAGTATCACAGAGTATCACACTGGATCTTCTACATAAAGCTACGTGTTCAAATTTTCTTCCTACTTTTTCTACCATATTTATATATAAAACCAAAAATATATAGCTGCCAGTCATATCTAAACTGTACGTGAGTTTAAAATACATAGCTGATTTGAATGAATATTTCATAAGAAAACTCTCATATTCATCATGAAGTTATTGAGCTATTTTTTCAAGTATTGATCTAGGACAATTTTAAAACCGCTAGCATTTGTTCAATGCCATATGTCATTAAATTTATTTATATCAAAACACTGTACAGGGAAAAGTAATGTATTTATTTTATATAGAAAGAAAGAAAGAAAGAAAGATTCTTAAGGGCTAATTTGCCAAAATGAGAATTCTGCCACACTTTGCCACTATGTTAAAAGCATCCACAGCTTTCACCAGTTAGAGGGTAATAACATAGCCACTGTAAGTATATCTGCACATTCTTTTTTTTTTTTTTCAGTATTCATTCCTGGCTCCTATTTAAAGCTAGAGTTTGTTACCAAAGCTGAAGAAAAATCTTAGAGGAATGAGAAAAATGCGAGCGGAATTCCAGGCAGCAATACAGGCGTGCTCAAGTGTTAAGCAGGAGAGGAACATCTGCCAAGTTCATCTCTGCCCCGCCTGATACTATCTCACTGATCTGAGTCCAATCTCTCCTGATTGCTTCCCTCCTTCTCTCCCTCCCCACTTCCTCTCTGCTCCAGAAACATGTAAAACTCAGGGAGCAGTAACTGGAGAAACTCCTTGAAAGACACTGAAAACATCATAGAGCAAGGAAGGGCTCTCTGGTAGCTTTACTCCAGGTAAGAGAAATTCCAAAACAAACCTTTACAGGATCATAAATAACAGGAAAAAAATTATCCAAATACTGACTATCAGGTCAAATATGGGGGGGGGGGAGAATCACCAAAAGAGCTAATTTTAAAACATCATTAAATCCATACTTATACACAGGCTATTATACTTTAGTATGAGTCAAATCTGACATTGGATGCACTTTCTAATTTAATGTTATATTTTAGGTCTTTAGTTATGTTTGATTCAGCATCCAGCTTTGTTCTGCAGCACCAATTCCTATCTGTTCAACTTGGATGTTAACAAATCTACCTCCTGACACTTTAAGGACAATGTCTGCACTCAGCATTATTTCTCAAGACCACAGACCTCATTCATGACACTGACCTTGACTCCCCTCCACATCTGGAAACGTTTTAGTCTAGTGTGTGCAACTGGCGTTATTTTTGAAACGTCCCAGAGCTCTCAATCAGCCCTGCTTTTACCAGTCAAATACGATGGCCTGGGCATCCATCATCGGATGAGTATAGAAAGAGAATGCGCTGTATATCTACCATGGAGTTTAATTCAGACAGAAATACATGTTATTTGAAGGGAAAAAAGGGATCATCACTAAGCCAGGCACTGAAAGACAAACATTACATGCTTCTCTTATGTGGAATCTGAGTTCCACACGCATGCGCGCGCGCGCGCACACACACGCACACACACACACACACACACACACACACACACACACACTAGTACATGTACATGTGACATGGAACTAGAAAGGGGACTTATTTGGGGAAGAGAAGGAGAGGAGTAGGATGTGGGAGGAAAAAAGGGAAGGCTCTGGGGAGTTAAAGTAACGATGGTTACTGGATTTTTCTTTTGTCTATCACCAAGACTTTTTTTTTTACAACATCTGGTAAAGTTTGAAACAGAACTATCTTAGCATAACAGTAATGAGAACATGATTTTCTAGAAGTCAGACACACAAGTGAGCCATTCTGTTTCCACTCCCTGACAAGAATGCGTCAGCTGAAGCATGTGTCTGAAGAACGCTGACCTCCGACCGCTCCAGCGCCAAAGTGAACATGGAGTCTATGGTGGCCGGACCTACAAACTCCCCTAACATCTAAGGGAAACAAGAAAGGAGACCAAAATAACTGTGTGAGGCATTGTGTGAAAGTGGGAGATGCCACAGGAAATATTTTAGGGCCCTCTCCAACAGGTTCACACCCTGGTGGAGGAGATAAAGTTAACAGACAATTAAAATTCAGTGCTAGGAGGGACGTCACAAGGATAAGCACAGGGCTTGGCAGAAGCACAGCAGAGGGTGAATCAGGGCACTCAGGAGAGCTCCCCAGGGGAAGTGACCTCCAAGACACACATGCTCTGTGTCCATTAGGGTGGCCATAACAGTGACGGATGGCAGCACCTGCGGGGAGGACGGAGAAAACGTTGAGTCCTCCGACAGCATTGGTGGGAAAATAAACTGGTAGGACCTTGGTTTTACATAGCTGGGGAGATAAGCCAATACACAAAACACTTGCTTTGCAAGTATGAGGGCCTGAATTCAATCCACACAACACATATAAAGGCTGGTTACAATGACATTTATGTATAGTCTCAGGCCTGGGGAAGCAGGAACGAACAGCCAGCCATTTAGCCTAACCCAGTAGTGTTCAACCTTCGTGCCACTACCTTTTTCGCCTGTATCTACTATATATAACTAATATGAGTTATATATATGAGGCATATAAACTAATACGAGTGACAAATCTTTACAGCATAGAGGAGCATTATCCCGCAGCACCCCATGGCCCACAAAGTAAAAGAAAAGAACAGAATCCTTCAAGGATTCTGATGTCCACATTCACACAACGGCACATGCACATCCACATATCTGTACATGTCTACAGCATGCATAAATAAATACTGCATAGATACCATAAATAATTGTGATGACTTTACTTCACAGAGAGAAAGAGGAAGGGGATAGGGGTGCCAACGTGTGGGGAGAAGGGACCTGAGATGTGACTTGCTTGCCACTGATGACAAAGGCAGTGTAGGAGTTCTGGCCAGCTGCTGGAGCATGGGAAGGGAGCGAGAGGGAGAGGCCAGCTGCAACTGCTGTTCTGGCTGGCTGAGGGGCCGGACAAGGAAGGGGCGACAGCCCGAGCTGAATGCAGGAAGCTGAGAACAACCCCAGAGAAAAGATGGAAAATAAAACACACTTGGAAACTTCTTACATCCACCCTTTACAAAAATGTTTTCCATGTCAAACACTAGAGAACAATTTACTCAGACATAAATTGAAAAGGGGAGTCTTAGAAGAGACCCCACCCCGATTCAGTCCCTTGGATCCTTGAATTCTTAGGGGGTGAGAAAATCCAGACCCATTTCCTGTTGCTTTTTAAAGCAGTGTTTGCATTTTTCAATGTTTTCCTATAGTTTATCAGCTCCTTCAGTCCTGCAGTGGGCGGCCTCTTAAGTTTGTTTTCCGTCTGTAATATAATATTGCAAGCACTGTAAACATTGTAAGTGGATATGAAGATACTTATTATGAAGACTAAAACAATATTAAAGAGAAACCGTTCCCCCACATTCATTGCAATGCATATTTCTCCCTCTCCTTTTGAATTTGTATTCCATCATGATTTTTATCAACATTAAGAAACCAGAACTTTGCGCTGGAGATGTCGATCACTTGCTTAGCAAACAGGTAGCCTAGGTCCGATTCACAGCACCGGACATGCACACCCAAAATGAATCTATTCGGTGGATTGCATGTATCCATGTACACATGGGTTTCCATGCTTCTGAAACTAGTAGTACACATTTAAATAGACAGAAGAGGCTTTACCTTCAGCGGGCAATACTGCCAGCAAGTCTGAGGCTGAAGAAGTCACAGCGAGAGCTCAGTGAAGAGTGGGAGGGGCTCCCCTGGATAACTCCACCTGTAAAGAAAAGCTGCTGCTTTAGTATTGCCTAGGGGGCAGGGTCTCAGAATTACAACTGAGTCATGCATGCACAGAGTGTCCCACATCCATACACTGACCTTCTGAAGCTTTGGTTAGTGTTTTATGGATCAGAAGTCTAGAATGAATTCATAATGTAATTGTTCTGTTTTATTAAGTTGTGACTTTTAGTGTGCCTAACTATACATGCATGGGTGCGTGTGTGTGTGTGTGTGTGTGTGCGTGTGTGTGTATGCACGCACGTGTGCATGTGTGTGTAGGACTTATCAAGCACTATACTTTCAGGCAGGTGATCTTGCATGAGGCCACCATGGGGGAGAAGCCAAGAGTACAACAGGCTTCAAAATGTGATTTCCACACATTAGACATTAGCTAATATTTCTAAGGTTTGTGTGGAAGAAATACTTTTTACAACTTCATTTCTTTCTTATTGCAATGCCACACCTATAACCCAGCAGTTAGAAGGCAAGTTCAAGGTCAACCTAGGCTACACTGGCAGACCTCCCATCTAAAATAAATAAATAAATAAATAAAACAAACGCCTGGTAAGTGATACACTGGGAACACGCTTGTACACAGGGAGATACAGTGGGAATACACTTATACACAGGGAGATACAGTGGGAACATGCTTGTACACAGGGAGACAAAGGGGGAATATGCTTGTATACGGGGAGATACAGTGGGAATACATTGTACACAGGGAGATACAGTGGGAATACTCTTGTACACAGGGAGATACAGTGGGAATATGCTTGTACACAGGGAGATACATAGGAATACGCTATACACAGGGAGATACAGTGGGAATACTCTTGTACAGGGAGATACAGTGGGAATGTTCTTGTACACAGGGAGATACAGTGAGAATACACTGTATACAGGGAGATACAGTGGGAATATGCTGTACACAGGGAGATACAGTGGGAATACTCTTGTACACAGGGAGATACAGTGAGAATGTGCTTGTACACAGGGAGATATAGTGGGAATACACTTGTACACAGGGAGATACAGTGGGAATACACTTGTACATAGGGAGATACAGTGGGAATACACTTGTACACAGGGAGATACAGTGGGAATACTCTTCTACACAGGGAGATACAGTGGGAATACGCTTGTATACAGGGAGATACAGTGGGAATACGCTTGTACACAGGGAGATACAGTGGGAATAGACTGTACACAGGGAGATACAGTGGGAATACGCTGTACACAGGGAGATACAGTGGGAATACGCTTGTACACAGGGAGATACAGTGGGAATACACTGTACACAGGGAGATACAGTGGGAATATACTTGTACACAGGGAGATACAGTGGGAATATGCTGTACACAGGGAGATACAGTGGGAATATGCTTGTACACAGGGAGATACAGTGGGAATACGTTTGTACACAGGGAGTCTGGCTAAGCTTTGTACGTGCATCTTGACATCACTTGTAACATGGAAGATGTGAGTAAATCGTGAAGCCAGCGGGTTCTAAAGAATCCTAAGCACTTTATTCTCATGCTGTGGCCCGTCACAAAGTATGCAAATGTGTCCCAAGATTTAGAATGCTATCTAGTCAGAGTCATACAGTCAATGGAGAAAGAATCCTGGAGAGGAAATGCAGATGTTGAGGCAAAGCGTCATTTACTGTGTCCACATTGGGATGGTTCTAAGCTACCATACCAGAACTTCTAATGTCTGAGTTTCCTTAACTATGGGCACAAATGTGCTAAGGATCCAAACCCCTGCATTGCTGAAAAAAGAAACACATATCCATATTTTTCTTCTTTCTAGTTAATCTTTCATGGCTCATTCTTGTAGGCTGTGGTTGAAATCTCACCTCCCACTGCCAAATGGTGTCTCCTTTCATTTTATACTTTGTTAATGCTTATATATTCTTGACAATTCAGTATTTATTAGGATGAGAGAGAATTCAATTTGTCCCTGCATATCTTCCTAAGAAAGGAGCAGAGAATAAATTAATAAAAACGCATAATGCTTCACGCTCTACGAAAGTGAAATGTGACGTGTCACTGACTTGACTGGAGGACCCTGGGGACAGAAGAGACTGAAAAGTCAGAAACATGATGGTGGAGTGACAGTCCCTCACCCTACCCCACCCCACCCCCAAAAAAACCTTTTTGCAGATGTAGACCTTACATGTAAGCTTTAAAATTCTGGAGGGAAGGACAAGGAAGACAACAGAAGAAAAATGGCCTCCTATACTGCTGGCTTGGCAGGAGAAATGTTAGGAAAATGGAAATACAACTGAAAACAGTCTATAGTGTGATGCAATCGCCAAGCCGTTCCTCACAAAACTGGCAAAGCAATATTGAGTTTCTTTCCCGTGGAAGCACAGGAGATGTTAAGGCGATCTTGAGCAAAATGAAAAGCATTCCAGGAACCACAACACCTGATTTCAAATGTTACTACACAACAGAGCAACAGCAACAATAGAGACAAAGACAGATGCAGGAACTGGTGGGGTGGGACTGAGAATCCAGAGAGACGCCCATGCACCTACAGCCATCCAACTATTGAGAAACGTGTAGAAGACCAGAACCTGACTGGGCAGTGATAGCACACACCTTTAATCCTAGCACTAGGGAGGCAGAGGTGGATCTCTGTGAGCTCAAGGCCAGCCTGGTCTACAAGAGCTAGCTCTAGGACAGGCTCCACAGCTACAGAGAAACCCTATTTTGAAAAGAAAAAAGAAAAAAAGCAAAGACCGTACACTGGAGAAACGAAAGCCTCTTCAGCAAATGTTCCTGGAAGATGACAGATAATGTGTGCAAAAGAATGAGAGAATCATACAAGAAATTAATTCAAAGTACCTCAAAGACCTTACTATATGACTTAAAACCCCAAAACTCCTAGAGGAAAACACCTCAAGAAATGGCCAAAGGCAAAAAGCTTTGAAATAACTCCCAGAAATGAGGAAGTAATTGTAATAATTGATAAATAGCATCACATGCGATCAGAAAGGTGCAGTACAGGAGGTAGAACAAGTTAAGTGAAGAGGCTGCATACAGACTGAGAACTTGTGTGGCTCTCCATCTGAAGGTGAAGTCAAGTCTAGACTAACTCTACTAATTAAATAAGGCAGCAAATAAAATGAACAAATTGTTAATAAATACATGAACTGAAAAAAAAAAAGGCTCAACATTCCTAGCCACCAAGAAAATGCCAATGAAATTTACATCGAGATTCCGTCTCACCCCAGGTCGGCCTGAACTCAGAGAAATCTGCTTGTCTCTGCTTTTCCAAGTGATGGGATCAGGGGCATGAGCCATGAAGCCTGGCTTCTCAGGGCCATTGTTATTAACTCCAAACCTCTAAGTCACTCTTACAAGCAGATATGAGGATAGCATAAGTCTGTTGGGGTCACTACTGGGGACGCATTTGAAATTCGACCCCACAGATGTGCTGGGATCCAGAGGTGGGGTTGTTGGGGAGTGAGGGCATGAGGATGGCCCTCATGAATAGAACTGGTGCCATGGGCCTCTCCTCCTTTCTTACAAACTATGTTTGGATACACGAACCTGGCCATTTACAGGTGATGGGAGCATCTCTACCAGATGTAGACCATGTTGAACCTTCATCTTAGTCTTCTGAGCTACAGACAACTCAGATCTTCAGGTCTCTTGTCTGAAGCCTATGGCAGGTACTTCATCACAGCTTCTTGACTGACTCCAACAATAGAGCCCATTGCATGTTTGCAAGAAATGCTTAGGCATCATTTAAACGTGCAGGTCTTTCGGGCTGCACTTCACGTGATCACTGAGAAGGATCCCAGTTTCCAGCTCCCACAGACTCCTTAACCACCCAATTCGCAAACCACCAACTAGAATCCTTAACAAACTCTACCTCCAAAATATTGAAGACAGTCAATTTAGTCAAACGTCATGTTATAAGAGCTAATTTCTATCATATAAAATGGCATATGTTGACACTTGGCCTCACCGAAGCTAGTAAAGAATGAAATTTGACTAAAAGCACAAAAAGAAAAAAAAATGAACAAACAAAACAAAACAATTGTGTAGAAAAGAGAACACCAGGTAAGAAAGTTTAAAGACTTAAAATGGGTTAGGTGAATAAGCAGGCTTCAGGCAGATCAAAAATGGTGGATCTGTCTTCATAAAATCATGGCTCCTAATAACCAAACTGTGTACTTAAAAGCTTAATTTTTAAGTATCTTTCTTCCCCCTTTTCAGTTTTGTGTGTGTGTGTGTGTGTGTGTGTGTGTGTGTGTGCAGAAGCGTGTGTGTGTGTGTGTGCCTGTCTGTTTGTCTATCATTCACTGAAATACTAGTTGCACTGTGGCTGTCTCCTTTACAGTAGAAAAACAAAGCTATTGTCACTCATGGGCTTTGGTCTAGCCTGTCAAGCAGGAACTAAAATCACTTAGAAAAAGAAACAGGGTTGCACGGTTCATGTATCCTACCCACATGATCCGGATCAGCTTATAGGAGGGACCAGAGACAAGGTACCCAAGGGAGTTGAGAAGGAAGGGACCTCCAGAGAAACCTAGGCCCTCTTGACTGAGGCAGCCCACCCTCTCCCACCCACCATCAACCACCCTTACTCTGCAAAGTAAGACTTGATGTGCTGTGAGAAACAGAAAGAGCTATGCCTTTCTCCCTATTAATGACTGAACTATATCCTTAAATTAACTCTTCACAAGCACACATCGTCCACCGGTTTCTAATGATGTCTCCATTTCTCCCCCCAAACACACCCCTGCACACAAAAAACAGACCATCATTTTACTCCACTTCTAGGCCTCTGATTTATGTAATTCAACGGCACAAAGCCTGTAGAGCAAAAATGGTTGGGTTATTTTGAAAGAATGCATCAAATATTAGCTGAAAATTGGTTCTAAATGGGGCCACTTAAGCCTCCGTGGGATGGAATTGCGGGGACTGAGGATTAGAGGCCAAAAAAGAAAATTGAGGACAAGAAAATGATGACTGATGGGTTTAG